GTCCCGGGTGATCCGCAAGCCAAGATAGCTTGTCAGCTCACCCAGGTCTGTGCACGTGTGTCTCTTCTGCAGCTCCGACTTCACGTGGGCGACTGCCTCAGTGTCAGCAGTAGCAAAGACCAACTCGTCTACGTACACAAGAACGTAGAACGGCGGCAGAGTGGTGTCTGTGCGTAGAAACAGCGATGGGTCAGCAGTAGAAGGAGCAAACCCAAGAGCAGCAAGAGTAGTCCTCAGTGTGTCGTGCCACTCACGGGGTGCCTGGCGGAGACCGTAGACTGGCCGCCGGAGGCTCCACTGGGTACCAGGAGGGAACGACCCAGTGAAGCCAGGTGGGCGGCGCAGCCAGATCTCCTCGTGCAGGCTGCCCTGTAAGAACGCAGTGCTGAAGTCAAGAGAGTGGAGCTCGTAGTCACGCTGAGCGGCGACGTGCAGCAGAACCCGAAGAGTGGTCATCTTCGGGGTCGGGGAGAAGGTCTGGAAGAAGTCAACTCCCTCTCGCTGACTGAAGCCTCGTGCAACGTAACGCGCCTTGAAGACAGGCGGAGAACCCGGCGGCCGCTTCACCCTGAAAATCCACATGCCACTGACGATGTTCGCCCCAGGTGGGGGAACCTCGTCTACGTAGGTGCCTGTGGACTTCCAGGAAGCCATCTCTGCGTCCATGGCTGTCTGCCATTGAGTGGAGTAGGGACCCTCCATCGCCTCTGCGTAAGAGCATGGGGTCGGGATGTCTGGTGCATCCGGGTCTCCCTCAGGGGTAATCAGCATGGACACGAGATGAGGTAAAGCAGCGGCAAAGCACTCAAACTCCTCATGCCTGTCCTCAAGGACGTCCGTGCCAAGAGCACACTCACCCCCGACGGACGTAGGACAGACAGACTCAGACTCAGCAACAAGGCTAGCGGCGTAGTCTAGACGGCAGGCGGCAGCAAAGTCAACAAGCTCAGCGACTAGAGGAGACGCAGCAGAGGACTCAAAGGAAGGGTCAGTGACAGCAGTGGCGAGGAGACGTGTGACAGTAGGACTGGCAGCACGAAGGGAGTCAGACGGTGGGTCAGCAACGTCAGGAAGAGAGGACGCAGGAGGAGACGGCAGAGGGACACGCTGTGGAGCAGTGGAAGGACGCAGGGTCATATAGTGAGTGCCAAGGACAGGAGGAGGACGCTGACGTGGAGCACAACGACCAGTGCGGACAGCGCGGACAGGCGACTCTGGACGAGACTCAGGTGACGGAGGACGAGACTCAGGCTCACGACGCTCCGTAAGACTACTCGTCGGCGCAGTGTAAGGAGAAGGACCAGGCAGCGGAGAGACTGGCTGTAACTTTGACTGCAACTGGATAGGCGGTGGACTCGGTAGGGGAGGAGTAGGACCAGGAGAGGGCGGGAGGCCAAGAACCTGCTGAAGGAGCGGAACGTAGTACGGCCGCGGCCGCGCAGCTCCCCCTGAACCAGCAGAGACAGCACCAGCGCCCTCAGCTCCAGGGTCTCCAGCGACAACTCCCGCAGCACCACCAGCAGCTCCCGCAGCTCCAGCACCTCCAGCACCAGGAGCACCCCCAGCAGCACCAGCACCAGCAGCACCTCCAGCAGCACCAGCACCAGCAGCACCTCCAGCAGCACCACCAGCAGCTCCAGCACCAGCAGCACCTCCAGCAGCACCAGCACCAGCAGCACCTCCAGCAGCTCCAGCACCAGCAGCACCTCCAGCAGCTCCAGCTCCAGCAGAACCCCCAGTCCCAACAGCTCCAGTACCGCCTGTACGAGCACCTCCAGGACCTGAGGCTCCAGCACCTCCAGCAGCTCCAGCAGCGCCAGCAGCACCTCCAGAAGCAGTAGTGCCTCCAGCGCCAGCAGTGCCTCCAGCAGCTCCAGCGTCAGTAGCACCAGCACCAGTGCCAGCTCCAGCTCCAGGGTCCGCGACACTAGTAGCGCCACTCCAAAGACTGCAGCACCAAGCGTACCACTCTCGGAGCCGCTGGGGAGAGGGCGGCTCCCGACGAGGAGGGGAACCGCGAGCACCAGCTCCAGCAGCACCCCTAGCTCCAGAAGCGCCCCTCCGGAGGCTGCAGTACTGCAAGTACCACTCCCGCAGCTGCTGCGAGGAGGGAGCGCCTCCAGGTGCAGCACGGTCAGTCGCAGCACCCTCTGGCTCAGTACCCTCAGACGTAGCACTCTCAGGCTTAGCACCCCCAGACTCAGCACCCCCAGACTCAGCACCCCCAGACTCCGTACCCGCAGGCTCCGCACTCCCAGGCTCCGCACCCCCAGGCTCAGCACCCCTAGCAGGACGAGAGTCGACAGCTACCTCGACAGGCTCAACCGGGTCTACCTGGGACACACCTGAGGGAGCGGCACCCTGAGGGGGGAGGGGGTCTACCACAGCAGCACCTGGTGCGAGGAAGAGAGGCGGGGGGGGGAGCGGGGCAGTGCGGTAGGGGAAGAGGCGGTAGTAGGGGACGGACTCGGCGAAAGTGACGTCCTGAGAGGGCAGGACACGGCGCGAGGTGGCATGGTAAAACTGCCAACCAGACGCGTCCGGGACAAAGCCAAGGAAGACACAAGGAACAGCGCGGGAGGAGAGCTTGTCCGTGGACGTATCGAGGAACAAAAGCTCGAGATCCCCAGACCTGAAAACGCGACGCATCGCCAACCTCTCCCGTCCAACGCAGTGTCGGCGAAGTCTCCGGAATGGAGACACGGGGCCAGAGGTTGAGCTGATGCGCAGCGTATCGGACCGCAAACGGCCACAGAAAGTGGGGGGCAGCCGCATGGATCAAGGAGGTACGAGCGACCTCCATGACCAGGCCAATGCGGCGCTCAACAACCCCATTCTGCTGTGGAGAGGCCGGAAGCGTGAACGACTGCTCAATGCCCTCAAGAGGTCGGAGGAAAACTCCCCACCTCTGTCAGAGTGCAGACGCAGGACAGGAAAGTCCGAGTGGAACCTCTCGCTGAGCTGGAGACGGGCAGCGCGGATCCAAGGGATCAAAACATCAGGGACTTCACCCTTGGTGCGCAAGGGGAAGACCGTGGTGTAGCGCGAGTAGTCGTCAACAACTATCAAGAAGTACCTCTCGTGACCCTGTCCACGGACGCGGGCTGGGCCCCACACGTCCATGTGGAGCGTCTGCAGGGGAGCAGTCGTCGGGGGAAACGAGGAGGAGTGAGGAGCGGCGCGCTGCCGCCCCTCGACACAGGGAAGACAGGAAGGAGCAGGCGAGGGTGGGAGGGGAGGGAGAACCCTGGGAAGACCAGAGACAAGGTACCGTTTGTTCATGCCACGAAGGCGCTGCACTGACGGGTGACCAAGGCGGTGGTGCCAGAGGACGGTCTCGTGCGCCAGGGAGCGACACGAGCAGGGGGCCGACAGCTGACCTGACGCAGACGCAGACGCAGCTACCTGAGGGGACTCAGTGGTCAGTGTGTACAGGTCCGACCCCGGCTGCCGAGTGAAGGTAGCCAGGTGGCGACCCGTCCGAGCGCACGTGCAGTGTGTCACGCGCTCGTAGGCAGGGGTGAACTGGTGGACACCCCCGTCCTGGAGCGCACTACCCGCCACCAAGTTCGTAGAGAACGAGGGGAGGTAGAGACCTGACAGTGTGCCCGACGGGACCGCAGGAGAAGGGAGGACAGTGGAGGAGGTCGCAATGACCGGACCCCCAGAGGGGTCAGCGAGGGAGACTGCAACCGGCCGAGCAAGTGTTATAGTCACAGTAGGCTCCAATGTGCCTAAAACGAAAGATAGAGTGCACAGCCGGATTTCTGCACAGCGGCTTCAAACGTTCATAGCGTTCTGATCACAGCTTTAAATGACTTGATTCAACTTGGATCTGGAGCGTCTTATTGTCGCCTACAATAGGCAATTTAGATCGCACGATTTCATCAAGTATTGACGACACAACGTCAGTTTGAACGAACGGCACTATGGCAGCCACTATAGTCTTAGAACACAAGATAGGAAGAGTTGGGAAGAGTTACGAGTTGGGAATGACTCCCAGCTCCTACAAACCCCAAGAGCCGAGGTACAGTGATGTGGAACAGTGCCACACTGTCCCCAACCACGAAGGGTCTCGAAACTACCCTTCACTAGGGCCTACACCAAGTGAAATGTTACACTACACAAAGTAATGTAACTATCTTCAATATCTTGAGGTGTACCCTTTTGGCGAGCTTCGAAAGCACTTGAGGCTTGACACCAAGGCTCGGGCTCTTCATCACAAACTCATCCTTGAGTTCTTGATGGGTCTGCTGCACACACCTGCGACACGCCGAACGTTCGACACAGGACAAAATAGAAACCACGCACGACAAAATAGAAACCGCGCGCGAGACACAAACGACCGCGTAACACGCGTCTAGCGATAACTCGCTATTGACTCGACACACACACTCGACATCATGAATCAACATTCACACACAATTATAAGCATGAAATATATATTATCCCATGCCCTCATACCATTCCATACACACACACAAGCCGAGTGCAAACCGTAGGGTTGCACCAACAAACTCCCCCTCGGATTGTTGGCCTTAGGATATGTCGCTCTCTTAGTTCAGAGCCATCCCAGCCAGCTTGCAACACTTCCAATGCTGCTGCTCCACCAGCCTCTTGGTCATCATGTCAGCCGGCTGCCCCGTGGTCTTCACGTAGCGCAACTCAACTTCTCCCGCGGTTACCATGCTCCTCGTCCAATGCCACTTCACCCTCATGTGCTTCGTGAGTCCATGCAACACAGGGTTCTTAGCAAGAGCAATGGCACCCTGGCTGTCACAGTACAGTGGGGTAGGTCCTTGCTGCTCCTCCCCCAATTCAGCCAACAAACGCCGCTGCCACACTATCTCCCGTACGGCACGGAAGAGTGCCATGTACTCGGACTCCACCGAGCTCAAAGCTTGGTCAACCTGCTTCTTGCTCTCCCAAGCAGTTGGGCCTCCACCAACACAGCATATGAAGCCTCCCACACTTGTCATGTCCTCTGGTTCTGATGCATATTAAGCATCCGAGTAGGCGGTGAGGAACAAACGCCCGGGTTCAACACCATCCGCGCCCTTTTGGCGCCTTTGTGCCGCCGCCGAGTATTGCAGCCCAACGGTCGGTGTTTGGCCAAGATACTTGGCCACCCTCATTCCAGCTACTACCTGCTCCTCATTAGGGCATTGCACAACCCTAGCCAGCTGCCCGGTAGCAAACGCGACGTCCGGTCGGGTGTTTACCGCCGCATACATGAGGCTGCCCACCAACGAGTGAAATCGGCGCCTCTCCTCTTCTCCAACACTCTCCTCCTCTGGCCCCTTCACACACTTGAACCCAGAGGGAAAGGGAGTAGCCACATGACCTTTTATCTGGCCGAAGTTGGCAGCCAACGCCTCCAGGTACTTTCGTTGGTGCACTCGCATGCTCCGCTTCTCCACGTCTCGTTCGATGTGGAGCCCAAAGTAGAAGTTCACGTCACCAAGGGACTTGCACTTGAACTTGTCTTGAAGCTTCAGCATCACCTCCTTCACAAGGTCAGGAGAGGGTGAGAAGATCAGGATGTCGTCCACGTACACCACCATGAAGCTCCTCTGCTCCCCCTCGCCAAGCATGAACAAGGAGTGATCGGCCGTTGAGGGAGTGAAGCCGATCCCCTCCAACACTTCGCGCAGCTTCACGTACCATTGCCTAGGGGCCTGCTTCAGCCCATAGAGGGCCTTCTTCAGCTTCCACACTCTGCCACTACCATCATCAAACCCCTCTGGCTGCGCCATAAAAATCTCCTCCTCAAGGATGCCGTTAAGGAATGCCGTTACGATGTCCATTTGTTTTACTACCCATCCTTTGATGGCGGCTCCCGCGAATAGGGTTCGCAGCGTCGTCGGCTTCACCACAGGGGCAAACAGCTCCTTGAAGTCCACCTTCTCCTTCTGCTGGTACCCCTTGGCTACAAGCCTAGACTTGTAGCGCTCGATCTTGCCGTCGGCATCCGACTTGATTTTGAAGAGCCACTTGGACGTTATCGCCGTACGCCCCTCCGGTAGCTCCACCAATTCAAACGTGTCATTCTCCTCGATGCTCTTCAGCTCACTCTCCATGGCCTTCTTCCACTCCTCAGCATCACTACTCTCCAAAGCCTCCTTGAGAGTTGCTGGTTCTCCCGGCGTCTCCACCGGAGAGAAGAACGCGAAGGCACACTCCTCGTAGTCACTCTCCTCGTCGTCTCCGACCATCATTGCCGCTCCGGCCAGGGCTGTCTTGCCCTGCTTTCCCGGTGCATCATAGGTCAGCCTATTAGGGGGTTGAACTCTCCTCTTCCCCCTTCCTTCCTCCTCAGCTGCAGGGACTTGAAGGCCTTGGCGTTGCTGCGGTGTGGCTCGAATCCGTGGAGCACTCGTAGTACGGGAAGGGAGTGACGGTGCACGCTCGCTCACTTGCTGCACCTCCTCCTCTTCTTCCTCTGCATCATTGGCCTCCTCTCCCCCATTCACAAGGGAGGATTGCCTTGTGGTTGTGCTGCCGCTGCTCAGCTCCAAAGGCAGCTCCACATGCTCCAAACCGGAACTCTTCACCTCCCCAAACCGCACGCCTATCTTCGCCTCATTCTCCGCCTTCCAATCCTTGTACATGAAGTTCTCCATGAACTTGCAGTCCCTGCTCACCAAGGACTTCTTGGTGAATGGGTCCCAAAGAAGCCATCCCTTGCTGTTTTGAGCCATGCCCAAGTGCACGGCCCACACCGCCTTGGCACCAAGCTTGTTGTGCCGAAGATGCTTAGGCACGAGCGCCATGCACATGCACCCGAACACCCGAAGCATATCCACCTTTGGCTTCCTTCCTAGCCACTCCACATAGGGCACCCATTTGTCTGCTCCCACATGAGTCAAGGCTCTGTTCTTGGCCACACACGCGCTCCGCACCGCATCAGGCCAGAAATAGTCGGGTAGCCCGGCTTCAATGAGCAACCCGCGTGCCGCCTCCGTGATTGTGCGGTTCGCTCACTCGGCGATGCCGTTCATTGCAGGGGAGTATGGCATGGTGAGGGAGTGCCGAATACCATTCTTTTTCAGCCACAACCCAAACTCCTTGCTCAGGAACTCTCCCCCTCGATCGGTGCGGATTGACTTGACTAGACTGTCTTGTTGCCGCTCCACCATCGGGAACCAATCCGTCTTCAACGTTTCAGCCACGTCGCTCTTCTTGGCCAGCACATACACCCAAGTCATGCGGGTGTAGACGTCGACAATGGTGAGAAAATACTCAGCTCCAGCAGCTCCAAGCTTCAGGGGGCCCACCACGTCCATCACCACCTCATCAAGCGGTGCCTTTGCCGTTGCCTCCGAACTAGGGAACGGAAACCGGGTGAACTTGGCTTGAATGCACATCGGGCAGCCAAGCACCTCATCGGGCTCCCCCTTCACACGTATGCCAGCAACCATCTCATTCTTCACTAGCTGCTGCAAGATGGGCAGGGCCACATGCCCCATGCGCCGATGCAAGGTGAGCCAATCACACTCCCCCGTAGCCGAAGTTGGATTGGAGAATGCCGCGCTCGCAATAGCGCCCCACATACTCTCTCCGTAGTCCTCCTCCGCTGCTGCCTTGGGGTTCTCCTCACCCTTTTGCTGCTCCTTGGTTGCTGCACCACTCTCCTTAGGTTCACTGAACTTGCTGGTCCCTCCAGGTTTGCTCTTCTTGAGCTCATTCTCCTTAGCGCGACCGTTCGCGCCATCGTCGCTACCGACCGCTCCATCCTTGGTGCTGATGCTTGCTGCCACTTGCCTCTCCTTAGGCATAGGGACCACTGGGATCTGCCACATCTCGTTGTAGACATCCATGTCCTCATGAAGGTCCCAAAGAATTCGATCGCCAAGCCTTGCGGTGTAGGTCTTGGCTCCCTTCGAGTTCGTGTCCATGCCGGCCTTTGCCAACCGCCGCACGGAAATCAGGTTTGCAGCAAGGCTGGGCACCCAAAGCACGTTCTTGAGGCCCACCATCTTCCCATCAGCACCCTTGAACATGGCCTTCCCCATGCCTTTCACCTCTGCTCGCTGCCCCAAAGCCGATGTGACATGCTTCACCGGTGACGGCTCGAGTTCGGTGAGCAAGTCCGGGCGAGGTTTCATGCTATAGGTAGCGCCACTATCAATCACCCAATAGTCCAGGGGGTGTAGGGTCACCTTCCCCACAGCTGCTGGCTCCTCAAAGCCTTCATCCTTCTCTGGACCACCGGTACTTGCGTCGACACGAAGTAGAATAGACCCGGGTATCGATCGTCGCTCGGGTCCTTGTCGTTGTCTCCGCTCTTCATGTTTGCAGCTCCGCCACCGCGACCGCCACGGCCTTGTCCTCTCCCTCCTCCTGCTCCTCTACCCTCTTGGCCTTGAGCTACTATCCAAAGCCTCCTTGAGAGTTGCTGGTTCTTCCGGCATCTCCACCGGAGAGAACAACGTGAAGGCACACTCCTCGTAGTCACTCTCCTCGTCGTCTCCGACCATCATTGCCGCTCCGGCCAGGGCTGACTTGCCCTGCTCTCCCGGCGCTTCATAGGTCAGCCTATTAGGGGGTTGAACTCTCCCCTTCCCCCCTCCTTCCTCCTCAGCTGCAGAGACTTGAAGGCCTTGGCGTTGCTGCGGTGTGGCTCGAATCCGTGGAGCACTTGTAGTGCGGGAAAGGAGTGACGGTGCACGCTCGCTCACTTGCTGCACCTCCTCCTGTTCTTCCTCTGCATCATTGGCCTCCTCTCCCCCATTCACAAGGGAAGATTGCCTTGTGGTAGTGCTGCCGCTGCTCAGCTCCAAAGGCAGCTCCACATGCTCCAAACCGGAACTCTTCACCTCCCCAAACCGCACGCCTATCTTCGCCTCATTCTCCGCCTTCCAGTCCTTGTACATGAAGTTCTCCATGAACTTGCAGTCCCTGCTCACCAATAATTTCTTGGTGAATGGGTCCCAAAGAAGCCACCCCTTGCTGTTTTGAGCCATGCCCAAGTGCACGGCCCATATCGCCTTGGCACCAAGCTTGTTGTGCGGAAGATGCTTAGGTACGAGCGCCATGCACATGCACCCGAACACCCGAAGCATATCCACCTTTGGCTTCCTTCCAAGCCACTCCACATAGGGCACCCATTTGTCTGCTCCCACATGAGTCAAGGCTCTGTTCTTGGCCACACACGCACTCCGCACCGCATCAGGCCAGAAATAGCAGGTAGCAAGGCTTCAATGAGCAACCCGCGTGCCGCCTCCGTGATCGTCCGGTTCGCTCGCTCGGCGATGCCGTTCATTGCAGGGGATTATGGCATGGTGAGGGAGTGCCAAATACCATTCTTTTTCAGCCACAACCCAAACTCCTTTCTCAGGAACTCTCCCCCTCGATCGGTGCGGATAGACTTGACTAGACGGTCTAGTTGCCGCTCCACCATCGGGAACCAATCCGTCTTCAACGTTTCAGCCACGTCGCTCTTCTTGGCCAGCACATACACCCATGTCATGCGGGTGTAGACGTCCACAATGGTGAGGAAATACTCAGCTCCAGCAGCTCCAAGCTTCAGGGGCCCCACCATGTCCATCACCACCTCATCAAGTGGTGCCTTTGCCGTTGCCTCCGAACTAGGGAACGGAAACCGGGTGAACTTGGCTTGAATGCACGTCGGGCAGCCAAGCACCTCATCGGGCTCCCCCTTCACACGTATGCCAGCAACCATCTGGTTCTTCACTAGCTGCTGCAAGATGGGTAGGGCCACATGCCCCATTCGCCGATGCAAGGTGAGACAAGCCTCGGGGTTCTCCTCACCCTTGTGCTGCTCCTTGGCTGCTGCATCACTCTCCTTAGGTTCACTCTTCTTGCTGGTCCCTCCAAGATTCCACTTGTTGGACTCATTCTCCTTAACGCGACCGTTCGCGCCATCGCCGCTACCAACCGCTTCACCCTTGGTGCTGACGCTTGCTGCCACTTGCCTCTCCTTAGGCATGGGGACCACAGGGATCTGCCACATCTCGCTGTAGACGTCCCTATCCTCGTGAAGGCCCCAAAGGATCCGCTCGCCAAGCCTCGCGGTGTAGGTCTTGGCTCCCTTCGAGTTCGTGTCCATGCCGGCCTTAGCCAACCGCCGCACGGAAATCAGGTTCGCACCAAGGCTGGGCACCCAAAGCACGTTCTTGAGGCCCACCATCTTCCCATCAGCACCCTTAAACATGGCCTTACCCATGCCTTTCACCTCCGCTCGCTGCCCCAAAGCCGATGTGACATGCTTCACCGGTGACGGTTCAAGTTCGGTGAGCAGGTCCGCATGTGTCATGGTGTAGGTAGCGCCGCTATCGATCACCCAATAGTCCAGGGGGTATAGGGTCACCTTCCCCACAGCTGCAGGCTCCTCAAAGTCCTTATCGTTCTCTGATTCAGCCGGTGCTTGCGTCGAGACAAAGAAGAATTGGCCCGAAAAGCGGTTGTCCCTCGAATCGCTCTCGTTGCCGTCACTCTTCATATTTGCAGCACCACCTCCGCGACCGCCACGGCCTCCACGGCCTCTTCCTCTTCCTCCTCCTGCTCCTCTACCCTCTTGGCCTTGATCAGGGGTCCATCCATCAGGGAGCTTGAAGCAATCGCGCCACATGTGTCCGCTCTTGTGGCAATAATGGCACTCGCCGTCGAATCGGCCGCGACCGCGTCCGTAGCTCTTGTCGTCGCTGCCGTAACTGCCACTCCCGTGGCCTCCACCGAAGCTGCTGCCACCAAACCTTCCTCCCCCTCGTCCTCTGCCTCTTCCTCGACCATATCCACGGCCGATGCTCGCTGCCCCAGCGCCATCCGCACTCGCCAACTCACGGCGGCGGAAATCCTCTTGAAGGATTGCTCGCTTCACATCTTCAAGCGAGAGGCGGGCCAAGTAACGGTTGAGGTTAATGATGAGTGAGGACCACTACTCTGGGAGTAAGGCCAGCAACTTGGTCTTCTTTTGGAGCTCGCTGTAGTTCAAATCAGCTCCCTCTAGCCGCGTCAACAAGTCGAAGAATTTCTGCACCCTTTCTTCCACGAGTCCATCTTCTTCAATTCGTAGCGTCGCCATTTGCCGTTCCAACACCACTGCTACCGCCGCTGTTGCAGGAGCGTGTACACCCTTGAGAGCAGCCCATGCCTTTGGTCCCTTCTCTGGTTCACGCTGGAATGGCTTGATGTGACGGATTTGACTGCTCCCCAACGCTTGCCCTAGTAGGAGGTAGCCTTGTGCGCTCTTCCGCACCCACGGGCTCTACTCCGGGTCGTTCTCGGGACGCTTCTCCGTTCCTTCCATCACCTCCAGCAGGTCATAGTGGTCGAACACGTTCTCCATTCTGAAGGATCATTCAGCAAAGTTGTCGCCGTTGAACTTGTCAAGCCCGAACGAACACTCTTGGTTCATCCCTAGAAGGTCCAAGAGTAGGTTGCACGGGCGCCACGGCTGACTCACGGGCTTGGCCTTGTGCTTGGGCATCTCCATTGCCACCAGCACCTCTGCCACCCCTTTCCTCAGGTCCAGCCATTGTCGAAACTGCTCCAAGAGGCTCTGATATCACTTGTTATAGTCACAGCAGGCTTCAATGTGCCTAAAACGAAAGATAGAGTGCACAGTCGGATTTCTGCACAGAGGCTTTAAACGTTCATAGCGTTCTAGTCACTGCTTCAAATGACCTGATTCAACTTGGATCTGGAGCGTCTTAATGTCGCCTACAATAGGCAATTTAGATCGCACGATTTCACCAAGTATTGACGATACAGCGTCGGTTTGAACGAACGGCACTATGGCAGCCACTATATTCTTACAACACAAATTAGGAAGAGTTACGAGTTGGGAATGACTCCCAGCTCCTACAAACCCCAAGAGCCGAGGTACAGTGATGTGGAACAGTGCCACACTGTCCCCAACCACGAAGGGTCTCGAAACTACCCTCCACAACGGTCTACACCAACAGAAGTGTTACACTACACATTGTAATGTGACTATCTTCAACATCTTGAGGTGTACCCTTTTGGCGAGCTTCGGAATCACTTGAAGCTAGAACCAAGGCTCCGGTTCTTCATCACAAAACTCATCCTTGAGTTCTTGATGGGTCTGCTGCACACACCTGCGACACGCCGAACGTTCGACAAGCGACAAAATAGAAACCGCGCACCACAAAATAGAAACCGCGCGGGACACACAAATGATCGCGTAACACGCAACTAACGATAACTCGCTATTGACTCGACACACACACACTCGACAACATGACACATCATACACACACTATTATAAGCATGAAATATATATCATCTCATGCACTCATTCCATTCCATGCACACACGCATGCACGCACACGGACAACAAGCCGAGTGCAAACCGTAGGGTTGCACCAACAGGCGGTAGCTGTGGTGTTGGAACCGCAAATTGTGACACTACAAATTGAAGAAGATGAACCAGTGAAAGAAGGGGTGCAGAAATTCTTCGACTTGTTGACGCGGCTTGAGGGAGATGATTTGAACTACAGTAGGAGCTGGTCCTTGAGTCATGGTCCTCGCTCATCATCAACTTGAATCGCGACTTGCCCCGTCTCTAGCTTGAAGACGTGAAGCGAGCAATCATTCAAGAGGATTTCCGCCGCCGTGAGTTGGCGGGTGCGGATGGCGCCAGGGCAGCCAGCATCGGCCAGGGCTACGGCCGTGGAAGGGGTAGGGGAGGCAGATTTGGCAGCAACAACTTCAATGAAGGCCGCGGGAGTGGCGGATACGGCAGCGACGACAAGAGCTACGGACGCGGTCGCGGCCGATTCGACGGCGAGTGCCACTTTTGCCACAAGAGCGGACATATGTGGCGCGATTGCTACAAACTCCCAGATGGATGGACCCGTGCTCAAGGCCAAGAGGGTAGAGGAGCAGGAGGAGGGAGAGGAAGGGGCCGTGGAGGCCATGGCGGTCGGGGAGGTGGTGCTGCAAATATGAGGAGTGACGGCAACGAGAGTGAGTCGAGGGACGATCGCTTTCCGGGCCAATTCTTCTACGTCTCGACGCAAGCACCGGCTGATCCAGAGAAGGATGAAGGCTTTGATGAGCCAAATGCTGTGGGGAAGGTGACCCTACACTCCCTGGACTATTGGGTGATTGATAGCGGCAC